CCCCAGTCGTTGAGAATCCGGCTCGAAGAAGCCGACGAGCACGCTTCATAGAAAATGATACGAATGGAGTGGGAAGTGCGTTTGATTTTGTCCTATCGTCGGGTATCGTCATCCGATCGAACGCAACTGCAGTGTAAAGAATGTTTCCGGTTCTCTCTCTCTCACTCTCTCTTTTTTTATTTCTCTCCCCCCCTTTTCTTTTCACCTCGTTATATATTAATTTTATTTCGCCAATACACAATGCCCGTGGTCTTAATAAGCGGTCATGTATTATTTTAGAACAATGTTAAATAGTCACGCGTTACGTTGCGCTCGTTAAAAATAATCCTTGAATATGGAAAAGAAGTCAGAAATATAATGCAAAGCAAAAATTTGATGTGCTCGTTGCTGCACACAATTCGGGCTCTTTCAAAAAATATGCGTGCAAACTCGCACGATATACGCGTGCTCTGTTTATTAGAGCCCGTATTGCACTGAAACGCAAGTGAAATTAACAACGCGTATAAAACGCGAGCATAACAGACGTGACCTGTAAAATATAACGAGCGGCTCATATTCCCGCTTTTATCGGCACATTTTTGGCATTAATTTACCAATAATATGTGTGTTATGTGTGTACTGATAATATATCGCGAAAAGTAACGTAATACCTGCACAAGGACACAGGCGAGCACGCACAGACAACCTATTTCTACGCAACTCGATTTTCTCGTAAACCGGCGATTTACATTCACCAGGGCGAAATTTGATTCGCAAGATGTCTGGCCCTCTTATCGCGCCGGCTTATTATTCTTCCAGCTTTTTTCTCTTGGCAGCGAGTGCGCATACATACATGAATAAAAAGGAGAGCCCTTACTATACCTCGGACAAATTACCTTAAACGTATAATTTAGCGAATAAGCATTAGCAAGTGGTATTTTAGAAAAAGAGGTCTTCTCTCTAACACCATTCTCATTCTGACATCCGAAATTGCGGCGAATTCACTCGCAGGTCGCGTGGTGTTTTTAGATATTATGCAAAAACGAAAGCTCATCATAAAGAGGAGGAATAATGCATGAATATTCAGAATGCACCGGACGGGCAAATAATTGATAAATATGCGTGTCATTTTTCTCAAAGTTTACGCGGAAGATTTTTGCGATAAATTAAGTTAATAGGGTATGTAAAAAGCAATGCACAGATACAGCAGCGCAATGAAATGAGAAATTATCGACGTCAACAATTATTTAATAAAGTCCCGCGTTTCGATCCTCTTCATCGTTCGGGTCCTCTTCACAGAAATACAAACATAAGTTGAATAGGCATTTGACTACATGAAGATTAAGATTTGAATGGCGTGCAAACGGAATAAACGTTATATGGTCTCACGCATAAATTACAATGAAGTGAGACGAAGCGCAACGGTAAATGTAAAATTGTAAAAAAACGGTCGTACAACCGTAGACCTTATCAAATAAATTTTAACTTCGATCATTTCTCACTTCATCGCGCCAATACATCTGTATATTAGCTCTTATGTGCCCTTTTAACTTAATTTATTGGTAGAAAATCAGACGGTCTTTTTATCTTATCGATTTTCACAATATTTTGATCGCAACGACGACGGAATTAAGAAGGGTCTGTCTATTTCCGCTCTCGCGTATCAACGAACGCGCATATTTTATTGGACGACGAGGAGAGACCGCGAAGAACCATGCGTGACTCGCGGCCAAATTAGAACGGCAAATGACGGTTCTTTTTTATCCACTGACTCAACACAGTCGTGATAACAGGAACCGAAGTGACATTGACTAATGAGCTCGCATCGGGCATTCACAGGCACATGCAAATGCGTTCTAGGCTACGTCGCGCGAATCATAATCCGCATGCGGCCGTTTACGGTCGGTAATTTGACGTGCGACGAGCCACGAAAAGGACCAACGATCTCCTCCCACCCTCTCGACGCACGGGACGCTTTTCATTTTAATCATAACTAGCGGGAAGGGGGTGGGTTCCGCAAGCAGCTGGAAAAATCACGCTCCGATCCGTTCTTAATTAAAAAAATTTTAATTTAAAAATTTCACTAAGGAAACATAATATGCGAAATATAAATTCCGCAATCGTCGCACGCGCGCGCGTTTCGGAATGCGAATATGATTATCGTATTAACCGCCGAGCGCTATCTCTCTCTCGGAATTAAAGAAGAATATTTTAAGTCAACTTCGGTTAACGATATTAAACTCGAATATGATGATATTCATTATGCATAACGTTATCTTGATATTCGGCCGTCTTTCGATTCTCCACCTCCTCCTCCTCCTCCTACTTCAGCTTCTGCTGCTCTTCCCGTTTCTATCATTATTAATTCTTGAAGTAAATTTTACAACGAAGAATTCACGAGGCAGTCTCACGGTGGGGATAAATCTTACACTCTTCAGGAAAAATTACGGAAAATTATTTTTATAACACACTCTCTTTCTCCCCCTATCTCTTTCCCACCCTCTCTCCTTGTCCCACTTCCATTCCTTTGTTAAAAGGGTAAAAGATGGTTACGATTAATTTAAACAGGGTATTTCGTGCGGAGAAGTAGTACAATGTTACAAGAGCCCGCCACGCTGTACGCCGACAAAATGTACGTGCGCGGGGTACGCGTAATTTCGCTCGCGAGAATAAAAAAAAAAAGCGCGGGAAGTAACACGCGCCGCGGCGGCGGTCGCTTTTTCGTTGCTACTCACTCGCAGATAGCCGGATAAGCGCCTCGTAAGTAGTATAAAACTTCCCCTTTTTAACGTCTCTCAATTCGCGCGCGACTTTTCGCGAAGAATGCTACCGCGCCGCTGTGACTCCGCAAAAAGGATTTTTTCAAGACTTTCGCGAGAGGAAGGAGAATTTGTACACGAGAACGGCGTATGCTCGCTCGACAGAAACTCGACGAAAACGACGCAAATTCCTTTTCCTTTCCGTTTCTTCTTCCTTTTTTTTGTAGACGCGCAAACTCATCTCGCACCGCTTATTCTTCCTTCTTTGTTTTCTAAAGCTACGATAGGCTCGACTTGAAATTCTGATTCTACATTAATCCTGCGAAAACTGTCGAACTTGAAGGATCAACGAAGTCTCGAAATATAATATTATACAGACTGTTATTTTATTTTGATATTATTATTATTATCTGTTTATTTACGAGAAGATTCCTTTTGGCACGTCGATTACAAATAGAAATTCAATATATAATTTTGAAAAAATGAATAAAACAAAAATGAGATATAAAAATCTACATTAAAAAAGATTATAAATTTTCTTATACATTTTTTATGATAATCGTCTTAAATAAAAATAATGACTAAAGGTCGGTGATATTAATTTTTTATTCATGATTTCCCTAAACAATGTATTAATTGTGCAATTTACTCGACACTATCTGCAGTTGAGTAAGTCACATAATTAATATACATTATTAAAATGAAGAATAAAGAAAGATTAAATGCAGATACGCTATTAAGACAATCAAATGAATTAGGCCGAATAAATTAAATTAAATAGTTCTTAAAGAAGTCGTTTCTTTAAGCGAAAGAAGAACGGCGGTAAACATTCGCCGCATCGAGAAAGGACAGCCGGTGTAATGTTACGAGTTTTTCGAATTCGACGGAGGGAGGACCAGCGGCGGATTAATGTGGAACCGAAATATCGACGAGTAAGTCTCGCCGGGAGCTCTCAAATTTCTCGGTAAAATCGGCGCTCGATCGGCGCTCGATCGAAGCTCCCATGTAAAATTATTATTACGAATAGCCATGCGTTCCAGGTCTCGCATAAACGAACGCGGGTAAGCTCCCGCGGACTAAAATTGCATCTCGGATTACAGCAGCAGCGGAAATTCTAGCTTTTTCGTCCGAGGGACATACCGTCCCTCCGACGTATAACGCCGTGGCTGGAAATACTCGCTCCGGCGATGCCACTCGTTAGTTTTCGTCGACAATTTTCGCAACGGTCTTTCGCTATTCTTCGCGACGAACCGTTTCCGGGTAGAGTGCCCATTAAAAATGTCGGGGAAGGAAGTAGGGGTGGGGGGAGAACGAAATAAAATAGATTCCCGCCCGGACACTGAGGAGAGGAGACCGGCGCCGCGTCATTTTGTTTAAAGCTGTCGCTGCTGACTCGTTGCTGCCGTTGCTGTCGAGTCACTTGGCGAGTCTCGCAAATAAAATAACTTCTCCACGGAGAGAGGCGAGAGCGTTCTTGCGCTCATTACACGCCATTGTGCAGCGAGCTCCAGATAAATCCCTTACCGAACGCGTTATTGCGCCGCCATCCGTAATATCACTTTTTCTCGCGACTTTTCAAGTCGCCGGCGCGTCGCGAGACGCTGAATCGGTTTGCGCTTACTCGAGAAAAGAAACGCTCACGAATTTCTCGCGTGACTTTGCATAGTTATTCACGCGTATATACAGCGGAACTTGCGTTCTCTATTTCGCCATTTACAATATTGTCTCACTGTTCGACTGTCGACTCGTTCAGCGGCTCGATTTGCAGCCGTGCTGTGTACACACACCGTGATACGCGTCTCTTCCAATATCCCAGTGAAAACCGCGCGTCCAGCGATTTGCATTTGTAATGATACCGAATCGCCGGGTATCTTTTAATCGATCATTTGCCAGCTACACGCGAAATTAGTGTCCTATTCCGCGTCATAAATGGCGCAATTTTGCTTTAATTAGCGCGAACTGAAATTCGAAACGCCAAGGTCCGGAATTACGGGCGCAGAGGCCCGAATATAAAACTCACCTGCGACTCATGGTTGTTCCATTCTGAAATTCACGCGAGTGTCGCGTCATTTGCGGCGCAAGAAATAGGATTAATCTGGTTCACTGATACGAATTCGTAATCTCAATTCTCGGAAGTCCGATCTGACGATCGGAGAGATGCGCTCGTTTGCGTCATTGAGAAAGTCACATCGCGTATTTAGCGATTCCGTCGGTGAATAAATGATAACGCGCGGGGAAACAAGAAAATTTCTCCAGACTCACCGCAGGTGTACACGACTTTGAGGTAGGTCTTGCTGTCCGGTTTGCAGGGGTCGCCAAACGTTGTGCTGTTAGCCACCACCGAGCATCGTCGTTTGCCGTGGCATAATTGCATTACGGTTTCCGTTGCGAACGTTACCATGCAAGCTGCAAATATAACGGTGAAAGCATCAAGAACGGTGCGCCGTGTAATCTCGAAAAGTAAAACACGCCACGAGAAGCACGCCACCCGCATATTCGCCGTCTCTTTCTGCGCGAAGTGTATTAGGCAAAAGTTACAGAAGAGACGACCGAACACTCGCGTACTTCACAATGATAATTTTACGTCGGGGCGCGTGCGGGTTGCTTTTAACGCGCAAATACACACTCGCCGATGCAATTCCGGGAATGCGGTTATCCTTTTATTCTGATAGAGATGTACGGCGTTCGCCGTGTTTCTCCTCCGTGAGAAACGTCTCGGAGATTCCGCTCGTGCTGTTTATGATTTAGGATGAACGCGATGCGCGCTGTTTCCGTTAGCGAAATAAGATCGAGGGGATGAGAGGACGCCGACGACGACGCGTACACAGTCGCACGGTGGGAAAAAGAATAAGAATTTATTGATCCGACTTCACGCGGACTGACAGAAGAGAAGGAACCAGAGAGAGAGAGAGAGAACGAGGTGAGGAGAGTAGGGAGTTTCCGATACTCTTTTGTGCGAGAAAATGTACGTCGCGCTCACGACGTAAGACGTGACGACGCGGCCCGTCGTCTTGTGAAGGGATATCAAGGCGACCGCGGGGCATTCACGGTGAAGCCCGAAAAAGGACCATTATAACGCGGCGCCATTCCGCAGATTTTATTCCTTATTGTCGAACGACAAGCAATCGCAAAGAGCAATCAACCCTCTGCGTTAGAGGGTGGGCTGGATTGACCTCACGAGCGACTGGCGAATGATGAGGCGACAAGTGGACCAAGGAGTTGCGTGAGACGATGATTTATTGGATCATCGCAGGAGCTTCACGAAGAAGCTATTCGGACAGCTGTGAAATCGGGATTTCTTTTGCTTACGGGAAGGGAAAGAGAATGGATACCTCCTGTTAAGCGCCGAGGAGGAAAGAGAGGGGCGGAGAGATACGTAGATAAATAGATTCCGTTCCCATTTCTCACTTCTCCATTTATTTCCCCATGAAAGTCAGCTCTCGGGGTAACACCGAATCTCCCGCTTCTTTTCGCTGACGCCCGTAAATTTGGCAGCGGCTTCCCGCGTACAAAGTTTGCCAGGAATCTAATTGGGATCCAGTTTCCGATTTCCGTAAATAATGATGGGTTCTAACTGGGAAATTTATGCAGATTCTAGTTAGAAATATAATGTTTCAAACATGTGATTCTAAATGGGAAACAGATCCTATTTGAGTCATCCTCAAAAATTTTGTCCGATTTCTATTTTAGGAGTTATTCAACAATTTCATCAGACCACGAAGAGGGGTGGGTTTATTAGCTCGCATGATGGTCTGTGATAGCGGAGAAAAAGGGAAATAAAGGCTATGGGAACGTCGCATGGTGTAACTTTGCATGCGCGTAGTTATGCATTTCGCTTGCATTCGTGACACATTTGGTTACATCTTGGGAAAATTTTGAAGTTTTGACATGAATTTGTGTTAATAATGAAAATGTTAATTTTTTAATATTTATCCTTTTAAAAGCACTGTTACTTTTACTAATCAAAATTGTAAAATAATGCAGTCTAATAAGTATCATAATGCAGCCTAACAATTATCATATGTTTTTTTAGCTTCTGTTTATTCTACGTGAAGGTAGAAGAGGGAGAGTAATTCCACATATAATATTGGAAGGGAGTCAAAATGCTTTATGGCAAAATATGACGAAGAGGAGGAGATGGGAATATAAAAAAATACTTAAATTCCGCGTGACGTAAATGTTGAATGTGAGCTCCTTCGCTATGATTGAACAAAATATACCAAATATTTTAAGTATTTACACTTTACATATACAGACGTTACACGTTAAACTTTAGGCACGTTAAGCATAATAACATTAAAAATGTAACTTAATTTATTAACTTGTGAATGTGATATTCAGTTAAACTATTACAGCCAATCAGCGTCGTAGAAAAGTAGTTGCATGTTTGAAAAATGAGACTCCCAATTAGCGTCGTAGTGGGATAACCTGTTTTGGAACAACTCTGGGTATTCTAATCGGAATCTAAGCTGTGCTATGGACAAATCTGGAGAAATTTCTATGAGGCTTTACGATGTACGTGCACGTGGATGATTATTACAGCGGTCAAAACGATACGGAATTATTAATGTCACGACATTCCCAGACAGCGGACGTGGCGGAATCGTCCGAGTAACACTTCACGAAACAGCTAAAAGCACGACAATGGTCTTCACGGCGCGCCATTCCCGTTTATGTTCTCTCGTTTAGTGAGCGGGTGGAGAAACTCGCGTACTTTCGCAGGGGCTGATTGATCAGACGGGGTGAAAAGCCATCGCGGGAGGGCGCGCTCGACGAGAGAACGTTCGATCGCGAGTCGAAGGAATTTACCTTGAAAAGTTAAATCAAAGCGCGACGCGTCTGAGGAAAAACGCGACCGAGAAACGCGCGGGAGTTTCTTCGGCTCTCCCTTTAAAATTAAAAGTTGCCGGCAACGCGAGAATGCGAGTAACGACCTTTCTAGACGTCAGACGTCATATTTTGTGCGCGAACGCATCTATCGGTCATTGAATTATCGCAGTCCATCCGTCCATCCGTTCATCCGTCCGTCCGGGAAACGGAAACATTTCTTCTTAAACCGCGACAGAACTCACTTTAATTTCCTCTTCCTCGCGTCGCGCGAACCTCGTCCAAAACTTCGACGACGAACGTGGCGGGAAAAGTCGCAATCTCGTCGACGAGGATGACAATAAAGTAGGACGGACATCGACCGGGGGGGAGGAGGGAGGGCGGACTTCTTCGCCGAAAAACTCATCGGCGAATAGAAGAAGAAACGGACGGCGAGACTTATCGACCGATCCCGCGGTATCGTCACGGCATCGGCAAATCCTATAATATGTCGCCCCGACTCGCGGAGATGGCTTTCGAGAGATTTATGTTGTCCTCGTCGTCGACGACGGTGCCGATGCGCCCGATATCATTACTTTAATGACACGCGTTATTTACGCCCACGTAAATACTTAACGTCAACTGTAACTTCGAAATGTCGTCGCGTCATTATTTCCCGCGCGGTAAACGACGTGCCCCCACGAAACGAGGACGGTGATATAAAACCGAGATGATATCGAAACAAGAGAAGAGAGCGCGCAAAAGTTCGTGGTTGCGCTAAAGCTCGGGTTTATGCTCGATTACTTTCTGCTCTAATAACGAGTAATGTGGCACCGAGCAGATGAAAAGTGTCATAAATATTACACAATCGAGATAAACACGAAGAAAAGTTTTCTCTCTGCCCCCTCCCCCCCCCTTCTCTCTCTCTCTCTCTCTCACTCTCTTTCTCTTTTGTATACGTTGTATAATGTCTCAAGAATAAATATATTTCTCTCTGTCAAAATGATTTATTATCATATACCTTGATACTGTTATAGATATTTAGAAAGGGAAAATCGTCGGTTTTAGTTTTTCTGATACGGCTGGAAAATGTTGAAATGTGAGGCAGTCGAAACGGTGAATTTGCTGACCGATAGAATCTCGAAATAGCAGATCTCGCGCAGTTACACGCACGGCGATAAATCATTTACTAAACACCGGTTGACAGTTGATGCGCCTCCTCCTCGTGAGGGATGCGCAAAATTATCGATCGTTAACAAAGTCGAGGGCGGGAATGAAAATTTCTGGAGTGCCGCTCTCCGTCGTGGAGAGTCAATAATCTCGACGGATAGGAGCGAATAAGATCAAGCGTCAGAATAAACGGATGAATACAGAAATGTCGTCAATCGACGAGGGGTACTTACTCTCTTCCTTCACGCCACGCGGCTGCGGACACTGCAAGGACTCGTATTCCGTTCTGCCAAAGGACGCGCTGAAAATCGCCACCCTCTGCCCGGGGAAACAAACGAGATTGATAACTTCGTTCTCGCAGGCCACCTTACTCCTGAACTCATCTGAAACCACAAAATCGACGTTTAATAAAACGGCCGTCTCACCCTCGTGGCGCAAACTGCAATCATGTTCGCGCAACGCCGTTTTATAAAGTATACTTTATTAGTGAGCTCGCGTCTCATCGTCTCATGTCGAGCGAGAGAGAGAAAGAGAGAGAGAGAGAGAGAGAGAGAGACAAAAGAGAGAAACCTCAAGAAACGGAAAAACTTTTCAGCTGCCGAGAAACGGGACAAATAGCAAATTCCGCGGGCTCGAATTCCGCGGAGGTCATTTTTTACGAATGGGCGTTTCCTCAAAGTAAAACAGGTGCTGTCTACTCGTCTCGTTACGACACGTTGCATTCACGAATTTCAATGAACCGGAATGGCTCGCAGCTGCCGATAGTATGTTTTTGCACCGGTCGCAGTGCAGAGATCGCGTCGCACCGGAAAGTTTCTTGCGGCGGACGTAGTTTGCGACCTTACGGATTGCCGGCGTCTCGCTTTTGCGCCGATATCCCGCCGTATGATACGTGATAAACAAAAACAGGCCGGAAAGTAATGGGATTTCTGCGGATTCACCAATTGTGGACCGACAGTACCACCCATCCGTTCATCATGCCGACTTGACCAGGTAAAATTAATTAACGTCGATACACAGGGGAAAAGATTTCTTTAGATTTAATATACGTGTTTATCTGACTTGGATTTGTTTAATATGAACAACATAATGTCAAATATCAAATATCACCGTTTACTATTTGTTAATGCAATATTAAGTGAATGATTATTTATATATTGTGGTTTGTTTAACATATATTTTTGCGTGGTTACTATTCAAATTTAATTTTATATGTACGTATCGTCACTTATTTATTAATTATCGTTATTCATTTATATACATTTAACAAAAGCTTTTAATTGATCTCGACATAGCGTCTCCGATACTTCTAGACTCCGTAATCATTAGCTGCAAATGAAGAAAATATTATTATCATTATTATTTTGTTTGAATTAAAATGTTGTTTCACTAGAATAAAACTATGTCGTTTGATAGGAAAAACAGTGTTATTTAGAGAAAATAATGTTTGGGTTTCAATAAAAGAAAAATATATTTCATTATATATCAAATATTATTTCGCTAAAATAAAGAAAAGTTCTTGAATATTTTTCTAACATAGTGTTACTTCCTTCAAATAATTTGTTACTTGTGACAACTATTATAATGTTTGAATGCAAGTATAAAAATATGTTTTTATTCGACGCAAAGATATTTATTACTTGACAAACCAAACAATCCCGTTTGTCGGATCAAACATTCGTTTGTTTGCACCATTCGAAAAGACAAATTTCAATTTAAAAAATTTTATTAAATCCGAAGAAACTTTTCTTTCTATATGTAAATAATCCATCATACTCCTGGTGCAACTGTTACCAGTGTCTTCCCGATTTTTCTTCGTCGTGTTTCGTCAAATATGAGAGCCTTATCGTCGATTAACATCGACGCGAGTGGACAGCAATACGATAATCGCTAGTCGAGACCGTTGAGCCCGTTGGGAATTGTTCACAAAGTGCCGACTCAGTGCGGCAATTATCAAACTGAGTTCGCATTTGGTGTAAGCTCGATATTTGTTAGTGGACGACGTTGCCTGCAAAAATTCTTCGCAAACTGCAAACTCAGTGCATCGATTATCAATTGAGTATGTATTCGGTCGATACTTTTCGCATACTTCGCAATTGTCGATGCCGAAATCGTATCACCATTTCTACTTCGATTCAGAACTGCACTGAAACCCACGTTACGAAAAGCTCAAGACAAAAAGCCTTTCACGAAACTTTCTAAATTTCTTAGAAGGAAATGTCACTCGAAAAGTAGAGTGACCACCGAGTCACTCGAGATCGTAGACACGTAGAATAGATTGTGCATCGCCATTGAAGAGCTGAAGCTGAGATGGAAGGACAGAGATATGTTAACAGTGGAGTTTTCTCACACGATACTGTAAAGAGGCCGATTTAAAGGAAGCAGAGGAGTGAGAGCAGACACAGTGAAGGAAGAAGAGAAATATTGTGTATTTGCTTGTATGAGACGGCATATGTTGCAATAAATAATACACCAGTATGCGCACTTGCAATAATTAATTCATAATATTTGTAACTATGTGCCGTTTTTTCTCTTTCCTTCTCCCCACCAACATAATTAGACAAGAAAAGCATTGCCTTCTCTTACTAACGCCGGCTTCAGCCCTCCAATGAGACTGTTCAGTCTATTCTACTCATCTTCTACGCTTGAATTTGAGTCCGACTGTTCATTCGTATAGGATAAATTCTTCCCTCGGAATCGTCGAGTGAATATTTTCACTCGAAACCGAAGAGTCCGACGTGTACATCCCCGTCATAGGAATATATTCACTCCAATTGAAACATTCGCTCGTATCGAGTGAGAATCCACTCTAAGTTTGAGTGAAACATTCACTCTTGCGATTTCGAGTGGCAATATTTTCGTCATCGCTCTTGAGTGAAAATACCCGTCATACTCTTCACTTGTTTCGAGTGGGATCCGAGAAATTTAGAGGGCGCGTCCTTTCGTTCTTTTTTTCCTCACGTTTTACACGTCCTCGTAGTATCCGCGCGATTGGACGTAATTAGCGATAAAAATTCCCGACGTCCGACGCCACCGCGGGGGAGCGAATTTGCCCGCGTTCGAGTGCAACGAAACGCCGGTGGTAACTCGTTGATATATCGCGGTTTTGTTGCGGTGAGAACAACTTTGACCATAACCCACGATCCCACCGGCGGGGCAACATCTTTTCATACCGCGGCCATGTTTCTTACCCCGGCACGGAAGTCGGCGGGTGCACTTATGCTTGAGATAAAGTGTTATGCCCCGCTTTATTGAGTCGACGATTTACGGTGGTTGCCGGCGTGTGTTAGCTTTCGAAGTTCTTTCGCCGGCGGACCGCGGCCGACGGCCACCGTGGGCACTTGTCTAAGATTTAACGGCGAAATTACGCGCGAGAGACGTCGCGATAGTCGAGATCGTCGACCTGTCGAAATCGACTCGGCCGACACGGCTGACGTCGCCAATCAACCGCACCGGATAATCCTGACGAGTGCAACTCCGGTGATTCTCGCCGCCGGTAGAAACATCGGCTGACCTATTTTTAGTTTCATCGTTTGTATCGCGCGCATATTTCCATGTCCAGCCGTAGCAAACAGATGACCAGCCGCTAGTTTTTCTAGATTCACGCATCCTTTGTTTCCCCGCTGCGCATGTATGTATAATCAATATCGTATTGCAGCCAACAAACAGGTGTACATTTGGTATAACTTTGACATAACGACAGTTTGGTTGTAACTAGAATTGCATTAAAATCGTATCGATATACGCAGCAATGGCGTGTCTTATATTTTATATCGATATTCACGCATGTATTAATATCGCGTTAAATATTATACGGAATGCTTGGACAAGCAGATTGTGTTTAGGAGGTCTGTTTCCCTTTTTTATGTACGCGTGTATATTTGCACCGTCATAAACATCAACAGGCCTATCGTATGTTTTCCCTATCGTATCTCAATCCCATATTTTCAGTTCCAACCCTCGTGAATTGTGTTTCTTTTTTTAATTCATATTTCTGTAACCAGCACGTGTATTTGATTTCAACTAACGAATTGACTTTCTGACATTATTTTGTTGTAACCACAATTGTGTACTTATTGCAAACATATACCAACAACCATATAATATATATTTATTGTAAACATATAATACCACAATTGTTTATTTATTACAAACATATAATACGTGTTAAATATATATTTGACACGGGCTTAAAGTGGATTGATCAATTGTAACAAATGGTCTGTCCGTTTTAGTTGCACCAGTCAGCTAAAAAGAACAGACCAAAGAAGACACCGAATATCCCGTGTTTTTGGCCTCAAACCTAGTAAGTTGTGTTTTTTTAAATTCATATTTCACTTATATAACCAGCATGTGTGTATCTGATTTCAACGAGTTGACCCGCTGATATCATTCTACTGTACTACAATTCTATATTATAAATATATCAAATATATATTAGAAGAACTCATTCTCCTATAGCTGTACCATCGGAAATCATAAGCTAGCCTAAATCAACCGTTTTGGATTTGCGAATGTAACGAGCGATGCTTTTACAAAGTGATGAGGGAGTCTGTCCCAGTTTCATCCGATCTTCCACATCATCGTTCTTGTTTTCCCTATCGTATTTCAATATCCGTATTTCAATATCAGTATTTTTAGCTCCAACCCTAGTAAGTTGTGTTTTCCTCGTACTCATATTTCGTTCGTATAACTAGCATATATGCATCCGGCTTCAACTAACGCTGATATCATTCCATTACATCATAATTGTTTATCGCATATAAATACTAACGTATAAAATATATATTAAAAGATTTCATTTTTCCGTGGCTGCATCATCGACAACGTTGGAAGCTAACTGAAATCGACTGTTTCGGGTCTGCGAATGTAAGCGAGCGATCGCGAAAGATGCCTCTGCGAACTGATGGGGTAGTTCGCTCTCCCTGGTACGGCCAATCTTCTACGTTATCAACATCAGATTACGTCGGTTCGCGCATCCCCGGGAACTCCCTACGTAACTGCCCGTGGCGCGCTATTATGGCCACGTTACATGCAAAGCAAAAATCGCCACGCGATACCTGCCGGGAATCCCCCGAGGCTCGTATCTACCTGGAAAGGCTCAGTACTCTCCGGACATATCAAAGACCGGAGCGTCAATGGCCCGTGAAATTTCGCTCGGAAGAGCGGATCGTGGTATAAATGCGCGTGTAAGAGAGAGAGAGAGAGAGAGAGAGAGAAAGAGGGAGCCGTAAAGAGCGGAAGGGGGTGAACGAGGCGAGCATAGGAGGGGTAGAGAGAGAGAGAGAGTGCTCGCGGAACTTCCTTATTGCCCGTAAGAACCTCCGCGGGGGTCATGTGAGAGAGAGAGATGTCCAGTCTGGAGGTTTAATTGGCAAAAAAG